AGCAGTAACAGCAGCAGTAGCAGTAGCAGTAGCAGTAGCAGTAGCAGTAGCAGTAGCAGTAGCAGTAGCCGTAGCCGTAGCCGTAGCCGTAGCCGTTTCCGTAGCCGTAGCAGCAGCCGTAGCAGTAGCAGTAGCAGTAGCAGTAGCAGTAGCAGTAGCAGTAGCAGTAGCAGTAGCAGTAGCAGCAGTACTAGCAGTGCGTCCACGAGGACTAGCCCCTCCGTGCCACGTAAGCTTCCCCAGACTTGCAAACAGCGACTGTTGAATGCAAGTCTTCGCTTGTCAGCAGAGTAATGGGAACACTACTGAAACATGAGAACCATCGTCCCGACCATAGCTAGCCAGAGTTCTAATCGTAGCAGGGTGCATGGTTGCTTTCACCTACTGCTTGCCACCCTCCTCACATTGTGGTCACCGTCACCATCGACATCTCTATCAGGGACATCGTCAGCATCAGCACTGCCGCCAGCATCATCATCTCCTTCTTCCTGATGAGGTAAGGCAACCATCCCTGGCCCTAGACCCTCCATCTACCTACCGTCTACTCGATCGTAAATACTCATTAAGACCCTATTTTCCTAGGTAGTATTAGGGAGACCCCCTTAAAGGGGACCCTTCTAGACCCCACTTCTATATCCCCAATGGTCGCCCATTATCCTAACTCCCAGATTTTGAGGGTGCAGGGTCCTCGTCATTCTGTTTCTCTTGCTTCCCTGAACCCAAAACCCAAAGCCCGAAAACCTAAACCCCAAAACCTCAGACCTAAACCCCAAAACCTAAACCCGAAAACCTCAACCCTAAAACCCTAAAGCCTAAGACCTAAACCCCCAACAAAACCCTAAACCCTAAGCCCGAAAGCCTGAACCCCAAACCCTGTTCATCTGCTTGAGGATCTGGCCGACTTGGCGGGGACGCTGTCGGAGTCGGAAGTCGCTAAAAGCTGCCGCAGACAGCAGGGTTTAGGGTTTAGGGTTTAGGGCTTTGGGTTTAAGGGTTAAGGGTTTA